TCATCTCCTGCTTTGGTCCCCAAAAGAAGTATAAGGCAGAACAGCATCCACGTGAGGAGAAGGAAGAGGGTCAAAGGGAATTTGTCCGGCTGTGATTGGCTGTTCCAACCTCTCTTGCCTTTTACAAAATCATCTCACTTCTCTATCAGCAGAGTTAAAATTCTGGTTTACCCAACTAGCTGTTTGACCTTGGAAAATCAGCTAATATATAAATTACCGCAAACTTTCCTAAAAGGATAGGTACAAAGATGGTCATCACAGCATTGTCTGCGATGGAGCGGGGATGGAGGCCAACCCAGCAGCCATCATTAGGAGACAAATGAATGGCAGGAATGTGTACAGAAGAATGCAGTGGTGGAGCTAGAAGGAGCAAACAATTTCAGGAAACTGAAAGCATAAATGCTCATGACAATAATACATATTTTACAAAGATGTAAGTATATTTAAGTGCATATATGGAGCACATTATGCTAGCACCATAGTGTTAGGAGGGATGAAGGGATACAGGCATGAGGAACAGGATAAAGGGAAAGAATGAATTAAAATGTAAAGGCAGGAACTCCCCTGGTGGTCCAGTGGTTAAGAATCCACCTTCCAAGGCAGGGGACATGGGTTTGATCCCAAGTAGGGCAAGTAAGATCCCACATGCCCCAGGGCAACTAAGCCTGTACGCTGCAAGAGAAGCCCGCACATCGTAACTAGAGAAAGTCCAGGAACCACAACAAAGAGCTCACAGACAGCCAAAATTTTAAAAAAAGAAAAAAAGTGTAAAGACAGAAATAAAGACAACACAAAAAGTCACGAAGTCACCAACTCTATGATTCCTTTTATATGAAATATCGAGAATAGGTAAATCTGCAGAGACAGAAAGCAGACTGGAGGTGGTGGGGGCACAAGAGAGGGGGATGTGGGGAATGACTGATTAATAGGTATGGGGTTTCCTCTTGAGGTGATAAAATATTTTGTAACCAGATAGAGGGGATGGTTGCACAACACTGTAAATCTAAATGCAACTGAATTGTTGACTTGAAAATGGTTAATTTAATGCTATGTGAATTTCACCTCAGTTGAAATAATTGTTTTCTTTTTGAAGTATAATTGATTTACAATATTGTGCTAGTTTCTGGTGTATTAGCAAAATTGTTCAGTTATATATATTCATATGTATTCTTTCTGATATTCCTTTCAATATTCTTATGGTTTTATTTACAGGATATTGAATATGAAATAATTGTTTAAAAGTTTAAAGGTGGGACCTTATATACAATCATTTCCATTTCCTCCCACTGAAAAGAAGCAAAAATTCTGAATTAAATATAGTTTGTAAAAAAATCTCATTAAATCAAGGAGTAAAGAAATGTCTAGTGAAAGTATTAAGAGAAGTACAAAAAGAAATGTAAGCTCTGGAGGATCTAAGCTTCTTTCCCCTCAAAAGGGCCAAGAACAGCTAAGACACTTTAGAAGAAAAAAGATAAGGTGTAAGAACTTGTCCTAAAAAATGTCAATATTTATTAGAAAGCCATAATAATCACAGCAGTGGAATGCTGAACAGACAAATAAATCAGAGAAAAATAAACAAGGAAATGTGTGTGATAAGATTGTACTAAAAGCCAGTGGGGACAGTGATTGAGACATGGTATCATTGATACATGATACATTGATAGAGGACAACCCATCATCACATAAAAAATTACTTACTGACTTGCTACTGAGTATAGTAAAATTACTACCAGGAAGTTTATTAATGCTAAACTTACGGCTAAAATTATTTATTACTGATTTCCCCTGCTAAATCTCAACCTGACTTCTTACCAACACAAAACTCAATTCTAAATCAATTAAATACAAGCAAAACGTAGAGCTTCAAAGATTTTTAAGAACCAATATAGAACATCTTTATAACTTTTGGTAGAGAAAGTTTTCTTAAAAGAGGCAAAAAGCAAAGCACTAGCCATAAAGGAAAAGCTCTATAAACTAGACTACAATGAAGTTAAGAATTTCTAATACCATAGAGTGAAAAGCCAAGTTGCAAAGTGGGAAAAGAATTTTGCAACATATACAACTGCCAAAGAAGTATTAGTAGTCTCCGAATTTTTTAAAAAAAGAGGAACAAATAACCTGGCAATTCAAAAGAGGAGCTCCATACACAAATGGCCAATATATATACTCAACCTCATTAGAAATCAGAAAAATGCACATAAAAACCACAGCAAGATACGACAGCACTGCCCCCCAATACAAAACACGCATTTTCACAAAATATTGGAAGCACTGGGGGAGATGAAGACCAGCTGGAATTCTCAGTCACTGTTAATGGAAGTGTAAACTGGCAAAATCACTTTGGAGAAAAGTTGGCCATTATGAAGGAAAGTTGAGGGTGTACAGATCCTATGACTCAGCAATTCTTCACAATGGCTTCAAAATAAAAGTTAACCAAAAGCCCATCAAAAGTAGAATGGATCAATAAATTCTGGGATATTCATACAACAAAACACTATACAATGATGAGAATAAATGAATTACAGCTTCACACAGTAAAATGGGTGAATATCCACATAATGCTGAGCAGCAGAAGAAAAATACACACGTATACATGCATATATTCAAACTTGAAAAAGCTGAAGTACATCTTTAGGGAGGCATGAGCTACGCTTGTGGTATGATTAGTCACTCAGTCTTGTCTGACTCTTTGTGACCACATGGACTGTAGCCCGCCAGGCTCCTCTGTCCATGGGGATTCTCCAGGAGTGGGTTGCCATGCCCTCCTCCAGGGGATCTTCCCAATCCAGGGATGGAACACAGGTCTCCAGCATTGCAGGTGGATTCTTTACTGTCAGAGCCACCAGGGGGCCCCAAGAATACTGGAGGCATAACACAGCAAAAATGTTCAAGGAAATGATGACCACAAAAGTCAAGGCGGTAATTATATTTTGAAGAATAAAGAGAGTGAAGTTCAGGGTGTGTTGGAGGGTCTTTGGAGGAAGTTGGTGATGTTCTTTACTTAGTGATAGTTGCACAAATGTTTACTTTTTCATTTAACAGTACATATATGTTATATTTACTTTTGTATTTCGCAACAAAAAAGATTCAAAAAGACAAATGAGTTCATTACCAATTAGCTATTTCCACCATGAATAAACAATGAATTCAAGGTTGCAGGGGCACTTGAAATTATTGTGCCTATTCAGGGGACTCTAGGTCATTGATATGCAGGGTTTTTTCCCGGTTTTTTGGAAGGGGGAGTTGGTGCATGGAAGGTCAATTCTACGGGTAAAAAATCATGATAGCCTCCCTTTTTCCCATTCAAAACAAAAATTAATTTAATAAGGCACATGGAAAAATATGTATATTTTAGGTTCCCACAATATTGCATAGAAAATGCCAATTTAAAAACTGATTTTTTAGTTACTAATATATTAGTTGTTTTCTGGGAATATTTGTGAATTGGCAGCATAGAGAACCCTTTCTAGTCTCATTACTTACTTTTGCATAGTTTAGCTCAAATCTTATTGGTAGATTATAACTGTCTAGGGAACTACTAGAGCTGTTTTCAAAAATGATGCCCAGGTTTTACATATATAAAGACTTTTAGGTGATTCTAACATACAGCCAAGGTTAAGAATCACTACAGGTTTTTGAAATTCACAGGTGATATATTTTATCCTCAAAGTACTCATACCTGAGGTAGGTATGGCATCCCCACCTCAACGGGGCAAACCATGGCTTAGACAAGCACTTTGCCCAAAAGTCACATCAAATTAATGACAGAGTGAAAGCCAGCATTAGTCTATTTCATCCAATAACACATTTACTCCAACTGTTAAGTGCCTCTTGTGGTACAGGTATGGCATCAGGCAATGAGGAGAGAGAGAAGAATCCTATGTGGCTCTTGGCTTAACTGTACACCTCCCTGACCATCTCTTGCTCTACCTGCGCTGGGCAATATAGAGCTATATAGTGCAGGGAACTATATTCAATATTCTGTAACAAACTATAATGGAAAAGAAGGTGGAAAAGAATGTGTATATATGTGTGTGTTTGTGTAAAACTGAATCACTTTGCTGGACAGCAAAAATCAATACAACTTTATAAATCTACCATGGGTGTGCGTGCATGCTAAATTGCTTCAGTCATGTCCGATTCTGTGTGACCCTATGGACTGCAGCCCACCAGCCTCCTCTATCCATGGGGATTCTCCAGGCCAGAATACTGGAGGGGGTTGCCATGCCCTCTTCCAGGGGATCTTCCCAACCCAGGGATTAAACCCACATCTCTTTAAGTCTCCTGCATTGGCAGGCAAGCTCTTTACCACTAGAGCACCTGGGAAGCCTAAATCAACTATATCTCGATAAAACAAAATTTTGTTAAAAGTCTGAGTTTGAGATGAGTCAAAGGCCATATTGGGAAGCCGGGTGGACACACACAGCCCTGGTCTAAGCCTTTCCTGGTTGAAGATAATTGCTATGTAATCTACTTCCTTAAAAACTGGACCTCCATGGCTGATTCATGTCAATGTATGGCAAAAACCACTACAACATTGTAAAGTGATTAGCCTCCAACTAATAAAAATAAATGAAAAAAATAAATAGATAAAAGCAATTAAAAAAAGGACCTATAATATCAGCATTCTTTATAAATTAATTTATAGAGATGAATGTAGAGTAGATATAATTAAGAGTACAGAGAGGAAGTACACTGGATACTAGGTGTACACTAGATATACACCTATATATATACTGGAAGTATACTGGATACTAGATTCAGAAGAAAGACTCATCTTCCAGTTATTTAAACATACTCCTGCAGCAAAGCTGTGCTTGGGAGGCTAGGCAGCATTGAGAAGTATAAACTCAGCAGGCTATTTTCTGAAAATGTTATGAGGATGAGTGACCACTCTAGAGAGACTTTAAAGACACGACGTGGGACACTTGGCAGAACTGCACCATAACGTGGTGACATCAGTGTTTCCATTCATGTAAAGACTCAGGACATAAAATAACCTTGATTGCGATGTCCTCAGTCTCCATGGGGCGCAGACGCCGTGCTGATGGTTCGCAGCTGTCCAGGTGATATCTTCCAGGCTGCTTCCTGTTTATGGTTTTTGGCTGCTGCATTCCAAATGGAAAAGAACACAAGCTGAAGTGCTGCGAAAAAACTGAGGTTTTACTGAACATTAACTCACAAGGTTGCTGCTCCATTTAGAGTCTAAGAAAAAGAAGTAAAGTAAATGGCATATTTTAATCATTTCTATGGCATCCCCCCACTCCGCCCAAAAGCAAACAATAATAAAAAAAGTGTTGTGCACTCATTTTAAACCTAATTCACAAACTTTTTAAGAAAAATGAAAATAGGAAGATGTGATATTCGAAAATGACGGAAGTTAAAATGCTGAGCACCAAACTAGGCTCTGGCTATTCTTTCTCTACTTTTCTGGATGAATAGACCCAGGCAATAAAAAAAAGTGTGTGTCATGGCAAAAGGCAAGCAGGCTAACTTAGGTTAAATGAGGGTCTACTGGTTAGGCCATCAGGCTTGTAAATGTTCCAACAGTACATTTTTGGTCACCCTCTGAATTACGAGGATTTTGAGTCCGATACACTCACATAAATCAGACGAGTCTACATGTCACCTGAAGATCCATAGTGGAATGAGAAAAAGCATAAAGATCTAGGATTTCTTTGCTCAAACATGTATATTATTTCATGTGTGCTCAGTCACTCAGTCATGTCTGACTCTTTGCGACCCCATGGACTGTTACCAGCCAGGCTCCTCTGTCCATGTGATTTTCCAGGCAAGAATACTGGAGTGGGTTGCCATTTCCTCCTCCAGGGGACCTTCCCAACCCAGGGATTGAACCCACGTCACTTGCATCTCTTGCACTGTTGTGCTATGCTTAGTTACTCAGTCATGACCGACTCTTTGGGACCTCATGGACTGTAGCCCATCAGGCTCCTCTGTCCATGGAGATTCTCCAGGTAAGAACACTGGGGTGGGTTGCCATGCCCTCCTCCAGGGGATCTTCCCAACCCAGGGACTGAACCCAGGTCTCCCGCATTCCAGATTATTTACCATATGACCCACCAGGGAAGCCCGAAAGACACAGGTGGAGGAGCTGAGGGGTGAATCCAGGGCCTTGTACATGTGAAGCATGTGCTCTACCTCTGAGCTACACCCCCTTGCACTGGCAGGCAGATTCTTTACCACTGCACCACCTGGGAAGCCCATATTACTTCATAAGGAGATCTATAAGCACTACAGAATGATCTAGTCTTTCTCAGATATTATAGCATTATTGTTCTGAGCCAAAGTACTAAAGCATCCAAAATATGGAGGATGTCACCTAAGGCTAGACAATCTTCCTATACTTAAACTCGAATTAGGTCATGACTAGAAGCTTTTGTTATTCTCTAATTTTGAATTTAATTTCACACAGACAGAGACAAATGGTTGAAGAGAAGGTAGAAAATCCAGCTCTGTTAACCTCTAAATCATAAAATATATAAGCTCAAAATTTGTCCCAGAAATCTTGTAAGCAACTATTTTAACATAAATAACTATCTGTAGTACTTATAGAGACTATCAAAGCTAAATAGTTATACACTTCAAAACTATCAAATAAGCTATAAAACAAAAGATTCTATAATTGCAAAACATGTTTTTGGCTTTGGAACATTAGGTTTAGCTTTTTTGATCACTCTGTTGAGAATCATGCATGACCTCAAATAACCAGCAATTTAATCCCAACAGGATAACGCCATCCAGTTTACATCCATTAGTATCAACCACATTACCCTGGTGGCTCAGATGGTAAAGAATCTGACTGCAGTGCAGGAGACCTGGGTTCAATCTCTGAGTTGGGAAGATCCCCTGGAGAAGGGGATGGCTACTCACTCCAGTGTTCTTGCCTGGAGAATCCTATGGACAGAGAAGCCTGGTGGGCTACAGTCCACAGGGTTGCAAAGAGTTGGACACGACTGAGTGATTAACACTTTCACTTTAGGGTTTCACTGGTGGCTCAGATCATACTCAAACTAATTAAATAACACATGCTAGGCTACATGCCAATCAATACACAGATTAAAAAGCCACTGAGAAGAACTAGCAACGGTTCCGTCACACAGAAACTGTTGAATGCATTCTAAACTTAAAAAAGAAAGAGAGAAAAAAAGAGAATGTTCACGACATTTTTAGTTTTGTTTTTCTTCTCAGAGTCCTCACAGATAACCTCACAGGGGATGAGGCAGAGCCACTAACTATCCTTTCAGCTGAGTATTTTCCCCACACAAGAACTGTCTACATCTGTACATATATTGGCTGTCTTCTAGAGTCTTAACTTCTATAGTAGTATCGGCCCCAGAGGTCCAAAAGGGATGACTTCATGTTCTTCACAAACCTAAGGAGAGGGGTGGGAGGAGGAGACGTGTTGACAGAGATTTGAGTCCGAACCTCACAGATGTAATTTGAAGAGACTCTGGCACTAGAAAGTCACTAATTCTCCATGGAGATTTGGCAGCCAAAACCACTTAGCTCTAAGCTTTACAGAATACATAGCTTCTTAAGCACTCTCAAGAAGGAGTTTCCATTCGCGTTCTTTTCAAACACACAGCTTTTTTTCTCTCCATTTCTAAAAGTTTGTCATTTGTGGTTTGGCGCGTCGGCAGTTGATGAATGGCCCCAAAAGACATCAGAAGTCCAGTCTGGTTTCAATAACCCCAAAGATATTGGAGGCATCTAAAGGGGATCCTTTTTTCCTTCCAACCTTCACTCAGTTCAACTTTTCATGCACCCCTCCTCTCATGCAAAAGACTCTTCAGAATCCCCTCACGCTGCACACTTGACCTCCTCTGTCCCCTCTCCTGAGGTCATCTCCCTCCACTCATCCCCATGTCTCTGAAAGATGATCTAATAATTTCTTGGGGAAACTATCGCCCAAAAGGTGACAAGGTTGGTTCTCACCAAATGCCTGAGTTTCCTACTGCCTCAAACTGTAGATGCTCTGTGACGTGTTCCCATCTTGGTGTCCATGTCCACACAAGAGCACACAGGCATCTCAGACTTTGTCACTCCAGTATCTACAAGCATGAGTGGTAGCTCCTTCTCAGACCAAAAAAAAAAAACAAAAACAAACCACACCTGCTTACCAAAATAACTCAACAGAGAGTAAGAAAATAACTCCAGAAAAGCAGAAGAAATCAAGTCTAAGACAGCCCAGTGCTTGTCTTAAGTATTTTCAGCAGTTTTAAACACACTGTGAAGAAAAATTTAATGCAGAATGACTTCCTGTGAAGGCTCTCCAAGCCTCAACTCCTTCCGGTCAGGAGACTGCATGTCCATTTTTGTTTGGTTACACAAATGGTAGATATATTCACATGTTCTCTAATAGTAAATGAATAATTATTAACTTGTAACTAATTTTAGACAAACTCCTTTCTACATTACTCTTATGAAATAGGCATACTAATTTTAAAGACTTTCTTCAGAATTTTTCAGACACAGCTTTCACAAAAGTGGTGTAATCTAGTCCCATTATTTTAAGTATTATCTAATGACCAATGGCTCTTAAATTTACATCTCCAAGGGTGACTTCTCTTCTTGCATGTCAATAAATATCTCAAAATTATCATGTGCAAAATATACCTCTTGATTCCACCTCAACAGCAACCTACTCGTTTCTCAGCTTCCCTGTTTCAGTTATCGACTCTGCCATCTACTCAGTGCTCAAGCCAGTAACCTGGGATTCATCCTTGAGTCTTCTTTCTCCCTCTTCATTTCCATTCAATCCATCAGCAAGCCTCCATCAGCTCCACCCAAAAAAATGTACACTGAATTTCATAACTTCTCACAAGGTCCACTGCAACCAAAACAAATTCTAACCATCCCCATTTCTTGCTATGCCATTATAATGACCTCTTTATTGATCCATCTGTTCTACTCTTGTCACCAGTGACAACTCTCTCCTCAATAGTTAGAGTGATCCTTTAAACATATAAACAAAATTATATGCGTCCCTACTTTAAACCTTCCAATGGTTTCCTGTTGCTTGTCAGTAGAATCCAAACTCTCTCCCTGACTTACAGGACCTGCAATCCTTGTTCTTTACCCACCTGCCAATGGAGGAGACCTAAGAGATGCAGGTTTGGTCCTTGGATTGGGAAGATTCCTTGGAGGAGGAAATGGCAACCCCCTCCAGTATTCTTGCCTGGAGAATCCCACAGATAGAGGAGCCTAGCAGGTTACAATCCATTGGGTTGCAGGGAGTCGGACACAACCAAAGCAACTTTTAGCACTTAATCCTTGCTCCTAGTTCATTTTATCTCTCCCTACCTTAGGCATCAGCCATAGTGTCCCTCTGTTCTTTGAACACACGAAATTAATCCCCACTTCAGGGTCACAGCATCTGCTAGTTCTCCGCCCAAAATGATTTGGCCTCTTTCCTAGGCCTCTGCAGAAGAGGTACTGACTCTTCATTCAGGTCTCAGCTCCAACGCCAGCTCTTCAGAGGGACCTTCTGGAGAACGACTACCCTGCTCTGAGGACACCAGTCACTCTCTAACACCTTCTTTAATTTTCTTCCCACAGGGAAATGATCTCATCTTTTTACTTTTTATCATCTGACTCCTGCCTCGAGAGCAAACCCTGTGACGACAAGGATCCTGCCTGCCTTGCTCAGAGCTACATCGACAGGTCTTGACACAATGCATAGGGCAGTTTCTAAGTCTGGAAACACAAGCAAATATATAATACTTGTAACATTCCATGTAAAACATGAAAAATAATATCAACAGTGTTTCCAGGCTTTACAGAGATATGAGTAAATATTTCTGTAATGGATTAACAAACTGGTTCAGGAATCACAAGACTCGGGTTTTAATTCTGACTATTGTTTAGTCACTCAGTTGTGTCCCACTCTTTTGCACCCCCATGGACTGTAGCACATCAGGCTCCTCTGTCCATGGAATTTCCTAGGAAGAATATCAGGAGTGGGTTGCCATTTCCTTTTCCAGGGGATCAGCCTGACCCCGGGATCGAACCCGCATCTCCTGTATAGCAGGTGGATTCTTTACCACTGAGCCACCAGGGAAGACCCAATTCTGGCTCTGTCCCTCACCAGTCTTATGACTCTAAAACAACATGCAAATAGAACTATTCATCTAGAAAATAATATAGGTAATGTAATGTAATATATTAAATGAATCAAAAGACATAATGCATCAAAAAGCAAGTTTTAAGCTGAAAAGTATAATATAGTTAAAGGTATTATAAGAAAATGATACATGAATTTTATTTTTTATTATTTTTATATAAAGCTTGGGGTAGACAACCTCTCTGTTTCCTTTTGAATTGAACATGAGCTGTCCCTCTTGGGATAATCTTTTGATGATTTATAAAGATAAGCCTTATGTATTTCTTTATTGATTCTAAACCTATAAGGTTTGTTGTAGAAGCAGGTAGTAATTTTTCTTCACATGTGTGCTCACTCAGTCATGTCTGACTCTTTGCGACCCCCTGGACTGTAGCCCACCAGGCTCTTCTGTCTATGGGATTACCCAGGCAAGAATATTGCAGTGGGTTCCCTTCCTTCCTCCAGGGAATCTTCCTAATCCTGGGATCGCACCCATGTCTCAAGTCTCTTGCATTCGCAGGTGGGTTCTTTACCACAGCGCCACCTGGGAAGCCCCTTTTCTTCACATAGGTTACAAGTAAAGCTGACAATTTCTTCTAGTTGCACCCATTTTAAATCATCCATCCTCAAGGTGGCCCCTTATTCACAGCTCCCGTAACAAGCAAAACACTTACGACTGCAGTGTGCTTCTTACAGGATTCAAACGGAAGAGAACCTTCTCCAGTTCGCCAGCTGTCCTCACCAATCTCATCACTCAAGAGAAATTCATTCAGCTTTTGAACACTATAAGAGGCAAACAAGCACACGAACGATATGGGTTAAAAATAAAACCACCACCAAAGAAGTTCTACCTAAGTAAACAAACTTTTCCCCCAACCATTTCCATGGTAAGTAAGTCAGCTCTAAGTATCATTTTTCAAGACCAACTGGGAATTCAGTTAGGGAATGCCAGGGACTGATGGCCTCATGGGACTTGGGCCTTTCAGTACTTAAAATGGAAGAATCTTAGAAAAACCAGGACCTAAATTCAACCAAATCACTCTTGCACTTTTTTTTGCAACTGTATTTCTTGTCAAAGACAACAGAAGGAACTTGAAACAAGGTGGTTAAAAATAATAATACTAACAAAGGAAGTATCATTATTCTAATTTTAAAAGTGAGGGGAAAAAAGGTACAGAGAAGTAAGTAAAAGCATGAAGCGTACAACAGAGAGATCAAGGGTCCACAGCCACTATACAACCTTGCATAAGCACTACTTATATATTGCCCATATTCCAGCAACCTGCATAGACAGGGCCCTCTCCTCAAAATGTCAGCCAAGACCAGTGGTATCAACATCATCTGGGAGCTTCCTAAAAACAGAAAATCTCAGCCCCCCACCCCTCAAGACCTCCTGAAGCAAAATTTGTATTCTAATTGGATCCAGAGATGCTTCATAAGCATGATACAGTTTAAGAAGCCCTGCTCTAGAAGAGTTCACAAACATCCTTTACTGTGTTCTCCAGAGGCTGGACACAAGACCCCTTGCTCCATCGACCCCACCCACTTTAAATTTCTCAAACCAGCAACACAGCATCAGAGTAAAAAGAAAGAATCAAAGAAAACAATAACATAATTTGAAAACACCCCTCCATCAATCAAATGATATACTAAAGAAAAGTCGGTCAACTTGAAGGATGAGAAATGCTCCTTTTAACATGCTAGGATGCTAACAGTAGACAAACCGGCTTGGTACAGGCAGCATCACCTATAGAGGAAAAACTCTCATTGGTAGGAAACCAGAAAACATATACTTGAAACAAGAGATTTTTTTTTAATTTTTCACTGGAGCTGGTAGTCAAGTGCCCCCAGGTAGGTCTCAGTAGTTTGTTTTTGTGACAGACTAATACAATGAAGAAAAGCATCTGTATGTATAACTGAATTACTTTGGCATACAGCAGTTATTAATAAAGGGTGACGCCCTGGTGGCTCAGATGATAAAGAATCTGCTTGCAATGCAGGAGACACAAGAGACAATACAAAATTTTAAAAGACAGATAATAAAGAAGAAAAGAAAATTTAATTCAGTTTGTTGCCCATGAACTTTAAGCCCTGTAGCCTTGCATGCCATAGAAACTGCATACTTTCTTTGGAATCATGAAGGTAAATAAAAGCCACTGGGGCAGTCTATCTATTAACTTCTAAATTTCATTTACAGAAAACAAATAATTTTTAAAAAAGATTTTTTTTAACTGACACAGGGGCTTCCCTGTAGCTCAGCTGGTAAAGAATCGGCTTGCAATGCAGGAGACCCTAGTTCAATTCCTGGGTCGGGAAGATCCTCTGGAGAAGGGATAGGCTCCCCACTCTAGTATTCTTGGGCTTCACTAGTGGCTCAGATGGTAAAGAATCCATCTGCAATATGGGAGACTGGATTTGATCCCTGGGTTGGGAAGATCCCTTGGAGGAGGGCATGGCAATTAATCCTAGGATTCTTGCCTGGAGAATCCCCATGAACAGAGGAGCCCAGTGGGCTGCAGTCCACGGGTCACAAAGAGTCGGACTTGACTGAGTGACTAAGCGCAGCACAGCATAGTTGATCTGGGGCTTCCCTGGTGGCTCAGGGATAAAAAGACTCAGGTTTGATCCCTGGGTCAGGAAGATCCCCTGGAGGAAGAAATGGCAACCCACTTCTGTACTCTTGCCTGGGAAATCCCAGGACAGGGGAGCCTGGCAGGCTACAGTCCATGGGGTTGCAAAGAGTCAGACACAACTTAGCAACGAAACAACAACAGTAATAGTTGATTTACAATATCGTGTTAGTTTCAGGTGTATAGCACAGGAATTGAGATATATATATCTGAATCTATCTAAATATATTTATATATATATACACACATATACTTCTTTTTAGATTCTTTTCCCTTGTAGTTTATTACAAAGTATTATGTATAGTTCCCTGTGCTATACCGTAGGCCCTTATTGGTTATCTATTTTATATATATCCGTAGTGGTGTGTACATGTTAATTTCATATGAGAAATAATTTTTAACTGAAGTTTAGTTGATACAATATTATACAAGTTTCAGGTGTACAGTAAAGTGGCTCACAGTTTTTAAAGGTTATACTCCACTTATTGTTACAAAACACTGGCTATGTTACGTGTGTTAAGCAATATATCTTTTGTAGCTTATTTTATACATAAGAGTTTGGACCTCTTAATGCCCTATGCCTTTGTAGTCCCTCCCTCCTTCCCTTTCCCCAATGGCAATTACAATACTATAGAGAACCACTAGCTCTCTATATATCTGTGAACCTCTTTTTTGTTATATTCATAAGTTTGTTGTATTGGGTTGTCCAAAACATTTGTTCAGGCTTTTCCGGAACATCTTGAGGAAAAACTTGAACTAATGTTCTGGCCAACCCAATATTTTTTAGATTTCACTAAAAAGAAATGTTTAAGGAAAGCTTTGACTGAATAATATTCCATTGCATTTATATGCTGTATTTAGTTTATTCATCTGTTGATGGACATTTGGGTTGTTTCACTTTTTGGCTATTGTGATTAATGCTGCTATGAAGATGAGTGTACAGACATCTATTCAAGTCCCTGCTTTCAATTCTTTTGGGTATACACCCAAAACTGGAATTGCTAGATCATATGGTAATTCTATGTTTAATTTTTTGAGCATCTGCCATACTTTTTTTCCATGGTTCTGGAATTCTTGACTCAAATATATTTGAATTATGACAACATGGATAATAAACCTTGAAAACATTATGCTAAATAAGATAAGCCAGGCACACACACAAAAAAACAAAAATTGCTTAATTCCACTTATATGAGGTAGCTAGAATACACAGATTTCATGGAGACAGAACGTCAGTGGTAGTCACCAGGGCCTGGGAAGGGAGGTACAAGAGGAGTTATTGTTTAGTGATTACAGAGTTTCAATCTGAGAAAATGAAAAGGTTCTGGAGATGGACTGCGGTAGTATTTACATGACCGTGTGAATGACATGACAGTCTGAAGGCCACTGAACTGCCACGTAAAGTGGTTTAAACGATCAACTGTATGTTGTACATATATTACTGATATTTTAAAAATAATTTCAGAACCAAAAAAAAAAAGAAAAAAAAGAGAGTCTTGGGTTTTGCACTCTCTTTAAGTCTTTGACAGCGAAGCCTGATCACACAGACTTGAAAGACGGTGTAAAAATGCCTTATGAAACGGCGCTCCTTTCTTTACTTTTGTAGACTTTGTCATTCTGTTCTAATGTCTTGAAGAGACTGGATTTTAAGGAGCACGGCTTTATCAATCAAAGGAATACCTTTTAAACAACCTCACACTATGTCTCTGTATACAAAGTACACAGCTGAGTTCGTGTGTCTTTGTAACTTTAAGTCCAGTAGCCCCTGGCACACATTACTCAATGAATGCTTGTTGAATCAATCAAAGAAGGTATAAACCAATGATTCAGACATTCAAGTAAGATCAGTTGACTCAATTTTCCATTTCTAGCACATATACAAATCTTACTGAAGCTTTTATGAAGTTAACGAGCCCCATTCTAGCTGAGGGTCTTCGCAGGTGGCTCAGAGGTAGAGTCTGCCTCCAATGCAGGAGACAGGGGTTGGATCTCTGAATTGGGAAGATCCCCTGGAAAAGGAAATGATAATCCACTCCAGTATTCTTGCCTGGGAAATCCCATGGACAGAAGAACCTGGCAGGCTACAGTCCATGGGGTCATGAAAGAGTCAGACATGACTTAGAGACTAAACAACAACAATTCTTGCTGAACGTAAGGAAGCAATGCTCCAGTGTGACTGGAGCATGGGTAGAACCATCTTTCCTTTTCATAAGATCCCACTTTGGATCTCCAGTTAGTGAACCTCAGAGGACCCAATTCTAGCACTTTTCTGAACCTCCCCCTCCATTTCCCCCGCCTTGTCCCCATTATTCCAGGCTCTCTGGCTAAGGGTCCCCTGAACAGCTCTTTTGTTTGTTTTGTTACTGTCTATGTCTCCCACTAGACCGTGAAGTCTTTAAAACAAGATTTTCATCTTCAGAATCTAGCCCAGTGCCAAAAATATAACATAACAATTCCTCAAGAAATGTCTGGTGAATGAATAAACAGATAATACAACAAGCATTTCCTGTTCATATGAGGGCCTTTTAGAACTCACAGAGGCAAAACAATTATGGAAAATGCATGAATCCTGACCAAGGGTGAAGTAACTGCCACCACTCGGCCAGAGTTGTATTTTTACAATGCAAGTCTGTTCAAACAGTCCTCGCCTTAAAATAACAAATGGCCACCCTGCACTTTTCAGCATCATTGGCATCCTCTCTCTGCTCACTGGGATTTTACTCTCCAGCTTCAATGAACCTTATATATGGCCCATGGCATCGTGTGCAGTGCTCTATCACAGCATTATGCTCCATGGTATAACTAGCTTCCCTGCCCAGTTTCTCCAGCTAGACTGTGGACTCCTGTGGATCTCACTTCATCTTTCATCGCTGCCATTCCCAGTGCTTAGCAAGATACCTGAACCACTTAATAATTGAATGTGGACCCACAGAAAGACACTTCTCTGAAGCATGGAATGGAATTTAGTAAAATAGTGGCACATTAGTAAAATGGAGATTTGTTCAATATTTAATATATTTAGGCAATATGCTGGACATTTTTCATGTATCATCTCATTTAATTCTCCCAACTTCCATAAGCAGGAGGCCTTATGATGCTCATCTGATTAGTGAGGAACCTGAGCCATAGAGGTACCAAATAACACACCTGTAG